AAAAAAGAAAACCAATTTATTATAGCTGAGGGGGTCATCATGTCTGTGTAAGATGAATGCAAGCTATTTCAATGTAGATACCTTAGAATTACTATAATGTGGTAAGAATTGACTTGTCTAAGTCCATTTACAGATTTCTATTCATTAGTGATTTATCTTGACTGTTATTAAGCAGATCACTTATGATTACTAATTCATTTAGGTCATGGGTTTGAAAAACAGAGTGCTTACTTTGTCAACTTTTCCTTAATTATGAAATAATTGTGGTAAACCACATAAATATATATATAATCCATTGGTAGAACGACAGATTTGTTCTTTCAACAGAAACATATTGAGCAGGGGCGCCTGGGTGGCTCAGTCGTTAAGCATCTACCTTCAGCTCAGGTCATGATCCCAGGGTCCTGGGATCAAGCCCCATATCGGGCTCCCTCCTCGGCGGGAAGCCTGCTTCTCCCTTTCCCACTCCCCCTGCTTGTGTTCCTGCTCTCGCTCTCTCTCTCTCTGTCAAATAAATAAATAAAATCTTAAAAAAAAAAAATATATATATATATATATTGAGCAGTGTGTCAAACTAGGCATAGGAATCCAAAGGTAAATTAAGACATAGTCCCAACCTTCACGGAACTCACAATGTAATGTGTGTGTGGAATGGGGGCAGGAGGGTTGATAAACAGACCCAGAGACAGAGTAAGAACTATCCAGTATTATAGGTATGATAATAAACATCCTGTAGGATTTAGCAGATGAACAGAGGGAGTGGTCAGTTCTACTTGGTGGTGCAAAGAAGGAAATTGAGTCTTGAAAACTGAAAATCTATTTATCTTGCAAAGAAAGAAGAGGGGAAGGAAGCATCTTATACAGAGTAAATTAATACCCAGAGATGTGAAACAATGGAGGATCAGAGAATCTGAGTGGAACATGGCTCTAGCACAGACATAAGAAGCACATATAAGAAGCTCTAGCACAATCAAGGAAGGGTTGTTGAGAAGGCAGCAGAGGCCAGATTATGAAAATCCCTCTATACCTTTTAAGAAGTTTAGACTTTATATGTAGGTACTTTGGGAAGATTTTTTTTTTAATTATTTTACTTATTTGAGAGAGAGAGCTTGCATGTGAGTGGGAGATGAAGCAGAGGGAGAGAATCCTCAAGCAGACTCCCTTCTGAGTGCAGAGCCCCACGTGGGGCTTGATCCCATGACCCAGGAGACCGTGACCTGAACGGAAACCTAGAGTTGGACTCCCAACCGACGGAGCCACCCATGTGCCCCCTTTTGGAAGCTTTTAATCAAAGAAAAGGCAGTTGTGTTTTAGAAAGAATACTTCAGAAATAATGTGAAGGATGTATTGAAGAAAAGATGAGTACATTAGAGACAAAATCTTACTGCAGTAGCCCAAGTGAGGGTTTAAAGTAGGGTAGTAGCAATAAGCATGGAGAGGAAAAACTGGATCACAGAAAGATTAATCAGGGATAATCCACTGGACTTAGTGACAGACAAGATGTTAAGAGGAACTCGGAGGGGCGCCTGGGTGGCTCAGTCGTTAAGCGTCTGCCTTCGGCTCAGGTCATGATCCCAGGGTCCTGGGATCGAGCCC